GGCTTAATAGTCTCATTTTAGTTAGGTTGGTGGCAGCTTTAGGCTTATAAAATAAAGGTTGTGCAATGTGGACACATGCGAGAGATTTTCGATCTATAATGGACCATTTTACCCTTTGTTGTGCAACTGTTCAGAGCTTGTAAAGTTTGTTTGTAATTTGCATTGTCTATGAAGTGTTTTCGGAAATGTTTGCTTGTGGATCCCGAATGAGGCGTTTTCTCTAACATGTTCTCTCTTTTGTGGGTCCTAAGGGACATGGGAGGCTTCGGGGAGGCTGACCTTTACGAACGGACATGCTAGGGTGCCACACGACTTAGGCAAAACCAGCTAAGTCCGTGACAGATGGTATCAGAGCGGGACAAGCACTCATAGAAATACTTAGCATGCAAACTTGGGGGACCTAACGGGGCTGCGTTGAGGGCAGTCAGCACACGCGCGACCGTTTGGGGGAAAACGAGCATGGAGATGTAGGGAAAAGGAGTCGCTCGGAGGAGCGGGCATCTGAGATTGGCATTCAGAGGAATGGCCAACCCTTCGCGCAAGAGGCACCACGAGAACAGACAAGCTTGGAAGAATGCGGAGCGCACAAAGGTTGGGATGGCTGAGTTTGAGCTACGGCTCAACGTTGACAACCATACCTGATGGTGCTCAAGGCAAGCGAGGCGCTTGGTAAAGGATGAGACCATCCAAGGTAGATTGAGTTGCTCAGCGATCGAATGAGTTTTGCAAAGCTCACAGAGGTGAGGGGAATTGCTAACTCGAAGAATTCGGTACTCATGCATGGGCTTGTATACGGACGATGGAATGTTCGCGGCCATCCCAAGGCGACCGAAACTCGGCGCCATGGAGCATTGAAACTTTCTCTTCGGCATGTGAAGGATACGTCCGTAGGAGGCTGAAGTGTGCAACGAGTTCAGCATGTTGCTAGGCCTTGAGTGGTGCAGCGGGGGCTGTATTAACGTGGAGTCGCAATCTAACAAGTGTGTTTGCAGGAGGCAGAACAATGCACAGTTTGTTCAGCAGATCGGAGTAGTCCAAGGGGATGGTGGTCTCCGAAACGAAGAGAGATGTTGCTCCAACGGGATAGTTATCCAGGAGGGATAAGTCCCGGCTCTCCAGAGGGAGAATCATGTGGGACGGACCTCACAAGTTGAGGAGGAGTACATCAACAAACAACAACCCTATGAAGCTCAATGGACTGAGCAAGCGGCGAGGAGTCGTCACATGATCTCGCTTGAGAGAATGCATTGGTGGATGCATTGCGAGATCAAGTGGGGGAGCGACCCAAAGCAACACAAATGAAGGCACACTTGGAGTCGATATGGAGATCGGACTCAAGGGAGAGCTGACCCGTGGAATGGTGGGCGCGAGGGCCACCATCAACTCAATGCAAAAACGAGGAGCGGAGCAACTTGGGTGTAACTTGGCGAAGTACCCAAGCCGCATGAAGGGAGCCAGTATAGAAGATGGAATATAGAGCAGAGGCATAGTGCTTTCCTTGGACAGAGGTCAAGGACATGAACTCTTGCAGAGGCAAGAGCAGGATCATATTGTTCCATGGGTCATTCATTCTGACGGAGCGGACTCATCTTGCATGGTGACAAAGACGAAGGGAGCTTCTGGGCACATGCACCTTATCTCGGAGGAGCATTTTAATGAGGAACTAAGGCGACTCAATTTGCGGAGGCGAAGTTGGGTTCAGAAGGCCTTAGCACGAGGCAAAAGGATGCAGAGGCAGGTACTCTTGAAGAATATGCCACAGTGTTGTCATTCAAGTTGCTATAAAGGAAGCGGTGCATAGCGAAGATTGTACTGGTAGGGATAGAGGCCCAGGATCCAGACAATGGTGCACTAATTGCAACGAAGTCGGGGGACTTTGGGAGCTACTAGGCGACGGACTGTCCTAGAGCGGTGCTTCATCTAGGTGTGACCCAAGAGTGGGTGGATGAAGGTCGATTGCCAAAGGAGCGAACAAAATCGAATGTGGAAGAGACCCTGCGATGTATTGGCAGAGGCCACACATGAAGGGTTCACAATTCGAGTTCATCCCACAAGGATCAGAATGTAATAAAGATGCCACCAGGAGGCGACATGGTGCAGCGGATCGTGGTGGAACAGTTCGTGGCAATGCGATACACACAATCTAGTCCCGTGAGGGACTAGATCATACAAAGGTATGATCAGGAGCTACTGGAAGCTCTACTTCGGTGAACAACGCGACGGCAAGAAGGGCTATGGATTCAAGGAGTGAAGGCCATGGTACCGCAGAGGCGGGCCTTCCGTGCGTGCATCGAAGGTTGCATCGGATGAAAACCTTGGTCGTCAGCATATGGGGGCTGGGTTCCACCAAGGGAAAAGTTCGAATGCAAGTACCAGTGAGTCCCATGGGAGGGATTTGGTCATACAGAGGTATGATCGAAGCAACTGGAGAGTTAGACTGCTCTAAAGCTCATATTCGCTTAAGGGAGCCCGGCAAGTCAGAGGACAAGGTCGAGTAAGCGAACGTTGCTACCAAGGAAGCTAAGGAAAACAGAATCGGTGCAAACCCTACAACGTGATGGCAGAGGCCATGCATGAGAGTTGTAGTCTGTCTTTCCATCGACCAAAGGGAGCTGCTTTGAGAACACAGAGGTGTTGAAGCAGGGGGTCGAAAGGGGCGAGGAAGCGACGACGAGTCCAGAGGGACTTAGCTACCCAAAATCAAGCATCAGTTAGAATGGAGGTGGACTCGGAGGAGTGCCACAGAGGCATATCTACTAATTGTGAAGAAAAGGAATGCAGATACGAGACGACGGATAGTAGTGCCATGGGCATAGCAGCGCCATGGTACCGTAGAGGCGGGACTTCCGTGAAAGTCATTGATCCCTTGCTCTCATGGAGGGAGAGTGCTTGGTCGTGAAAGGGGCCGAGGAGGTGGAGCATGTAGAGGCAAACTCCAAGTACCGAGACAAGGCTGAAGGGCAGAGGCCAAGGAACTTCGTAAGACCGGTGTCAACGAGCTTCTTATCAAGATAGCCGAAAGTGAAGGACTTCGGGTCATGCAAGAGTGCACGACCAAGGAACGAAGCAGGTAGTACGCGGTGCTGTACCTTTGCTACTTAGGGGAGTAGGCGGCAGGGTTGATAGAGAAGGCGGTACAATCCCAGAGGCGACCAAATCTATTAGAGAATTACTTCAAGTTGGGATAAAAACTTCCTGCATTCCAAAAGTTCAATGGCATTGAGAAGGTGAATCATAGTAGCTAACTCAACGCAAGGAGTGCAAACACTTCAAGTGCTTCAGAAGTGTGAGCAAAGAGCAGGCGAAGGCCAGTAACCAGCTCGATACATGGAGTACAACCTCGAGGAGGCGGGCGAAATCAAGTAACCTTTGCCTTCTCAACTCTTAAGAGAATGGGTGAAACCGAGTACCCCAATTCTCTTATCTATCCAGCAGAGGAGCTCTGCATATGTTCAAAGACCCTTCGAAGATAATGGAAGAAAATAGTTGTCAAATCCTCACCAACGGTGATCAGTGTTACTGAGAGTAGATTGTCCGCTTCATTTCCCAACGAAATGCCAATCGAAAGCAGAAGTGATGCGAACCTACTTGGATGTGACAACTAAGTGAAAGAAGAGTCAATGAGCAAATTTTGTGAAGGAAAGACCCAAAACTTCATAAGTTTACGAGACGATGCTCGTTAAAGCTCCAACAAGCATCCACCCAGTTCAAGCAACATGAGGCATTTGAGAGACTGGCGTAGTAAGGATGGTCTTTTCCTTCATCTGGAGGATCCGCAGGAACCAACAGGGATCAACACAACTCAGCCAACCCCACACTAGAGTCAGAGTCATTGGCGAGTTAAAGCAGAATGGCGGATCAAAGGTTCGACTACTCAAAAACAGCAGCGGAGAGCAGTTGGGAGCCAAGAGACGCATTGCAGCTGGAGCAGAAGATTAAAGACTCAGCAAAGGCGAGGAGTTGCAGTGTCGATAAAGGCTTCGACGAGGACGTCGAAGGAATAAGTGGGGGAGAATGTCACGGACAAACTTCTAAACATGATGTTTGATGTAATGCTTATGTATGTCCGTGTCTTTTGGTATGTTCATGCTCTACACAACATGTAGAGGGACGGCCGAAGGCTTAATAGTCTCATTTTAGTTAGGTTGGTGGCCGCTTTAGGCTTGTAAAATAAAGGTTGTGCAATGTGGACACGTACGAGAGATTTTCAATCTATAATGAACCATTTTACCCTTTGTTATGCAACTGTTCAGAGCTTGTAAAGTCTGTTTGTAATTTGCATTGTCTATGAAGTGTTTTCGGAAATGTTTGCTTGTGGATCCCGAATGAGGCGTTTTCTCTAACATGTTCTCTCTTTTGTGGGTCCTAAGGGATATGGGAGGCTTCGAGGAGGCTGACCTTTGCGGACGGACACGCCAGGGTGCCGCACGACTTAGGCAAAACCAGCTAAGTTCGTGACAACACGGCTGCTCACATTGGAAAACATAAAAAACAATCTACAATAACTAAATAACCAAATATATCACATTTGCTAGATTATAAGCTAAAGAATATAATAATTATAAATGTAATGGTTAACAAATGTTAAATGCATAAGCCTCTTTCTCCAGAAAAATATAAATTTAAGATAACAAATGATTGATTTCTGTACACTTAGCCCAAGGATCCACATAAGATGACCAATACATCAAAAGTTTTCTCAAATGAGACTAAAAAGCTGTAAAATACTTTCAAGTCAAGCACAATTAAAAAGTAAAGAAATTGCACCTAGTTTACCATGCCTGTGATCTTTACCGTGCCTGTTATCTTTACAATGCAAAGAAGGAATAAATCCATAAATCATGTACAAGCCTCATTTCCACTAATATTCCTCAGGAAGGCAAAATTTTGTAAAACTAACTATCAAGGTAGCATACAACAGAAAGTATGGAGGAAAGGGTAAACAGGAAATACATAAAAGAAAAACAACAATCTCATACATAAGAGAATGAACTTCATACCTCAAAATCCTGTTTCCTGATTCGAGCACCCAAGCGAACATATCTCATAAGTGCTTCTGACCGTTTGGCAAAGAAATCATCATAGTTCAATCCATCTGGTGGAGATAACTGAGCATGAGTCAAAACAACCAAAGATCTCTGCCATATTCTTTTGCTGAATGTGTCGGTGATGGCTTTGATGACCTGCCTATCCAAACTATCCATCCTATATGCATCCAAGCGGTCCACATATAGAAGAACATCTATAGTCTTGTTCAGAAGAAACCTGGAATTTTTGTTAGAGATGATAGTATCCAGCCAGTGAGATTAAACATGCTAACAACCAAAATGGACATGCAAAAAGCCAACAACCATGCAGGAAGGGCCTTCCAATGATCATATCAATATTTTTGACAAAATAAACAACTAAATCATTAGCCACAAATAACATCATTTTCTCTGTGGCAACTATACATATACATATATGCATTTAAAATATATTTATACTGTTAACAGATTTTTCAAGATATTAGAAAGCCACATGTTATGGTTCCGTTGACAAATTAACAAATAGCTAGCAATAATATAAGACAATTTAACAATATGTGCTATCAAAATATTAAACATAAACACAATTAAATGATATATTCGTCAGCACTTACGAAAAATTACAATATAATGATGCATATGTATTTGATTAATACTTATGTTGATAACAGGCATCTCCAAGATATTAGCATGTCACATGCTATGGTTCTAATGCCATATTATTTCAGCACTGTTTCATGACCCTTGATTTCCATCTGCCTTTGTCACCTAGACATTCTAAAATGTCATCACAACTTACAAGAATTTTAATCACTTCCTGAGACTTCTTCTCTTTTTTCAAGTCCACATTTAATCATGATTTTGGTGGTCCTATTGGTGATGAGTTAAAACAACCAAAGATTTGTGCCATATTCTTTTGCTAAATGTGCCAGTGAAGACTTTGATGACCTGCCTTTCCAGAACATTCAACATATCCGCATCCAATGGGTCCACATATAGAAGAACATCTATAGTCTTATCATAGGATAAATGAATTTTTTGTTAGAGATGGTAATACCTAGCCAGTGACTAAACATGCTAACAACCACAACAAAACATGCTAATAAGCAAAATGAACATGCAAAAAGCCAATAACCTAGCAGGAAGAACCTTCTAACAATCTTATCAAATCTTTTAACAAGATCAACTAAATTATGGAACCTAAGTAGCTAACTTCATCATCTGTTGTTGGGCAATCAGGATTCTAGACAATGGAACTATATATATGCATTTAAATAATACTTGTACTGCTAACAGGTCCTTCAAGGTATTAGAATCTACATGTCATTGTTTGCCAATATTAACAAATAGCTAGTGGAAAAATCTAACATGTTGGTAGATGCACAACTAAATTATGGAACCCAAATATTTACTTTATTATCTATACTTTGGTAAGACATTTTCGCAATTACAAGCACCAATGCTGACAGCAGACTTCTTTAAGACCAGTGTTTTTAAAAGCGTTAGGCACTAAAAAGCGCTAAGATCCCAAAACGCTCAAGACGCTAGGCGCTCGCTCGAGTGAAGCAAAACAATCTAAAATATTAAAATATAAATATATATTATATAATTGATAAATATAATTATATAAATAAAAATATGATATTAAATTGAAAAGATCTAAAGTACCAAGTCACATTATCCATCTTCTAATAACAAAAATGTTAAAAGGCTTAAAACAATAAAACTTTACATCAAATTCAATCATCATCATAATCAACATCGTCATTCTCAAACTTATTATCATATTTCTCTTCCTCTCGTCTATTTTCATCAAAATAAGTTTCCTCCTCTTCAACAATAGCAGGAGATGAACTTGAGACTTTTGCACTCATTTTTGCCTTCATCATTTGTCTTGTATGTCTGTAATTCTCTAACACTTGAGATGTAGTCATAACAGTAGTAAGGAAGTAGTCATCAACGGTAAAATGTAGGACCAGAAGAGGCCGACGATGATGGAGGAACCTTCGGACGACGACAGCAGCGATAGTGGATTGAGCACAGGCATCGGCGACGAACCAAAGGTGAGTTGGGGTGACAAAGTAGAGTTTGGGGGTTTCGTGCAAAAGGGTTTACTGTAATGTTTAATTGGTTCAATCAAACCAACTAGGTATTGTTTAATCGAACCAGATTTGATCATCTAGTTCGATTGCTCACCTTCAACCGGGCGCTCACCCGAGGTGCCCGACGCCTGGGTTCAGGTGACAGCCTAAGCGATGCTTCAATGAAGCACGTCGCCTGGCTTCTGCGCGAGGTGGTCGAGCCTCACCTCCCTTGAGTGCCTAGGCAAGCGCCCGAGCATCTTTTTAAATCACTATTTAAGACATAAGCATGTCACATGCTATGATTCTTATGCCATATCAATTGAACACTATTTCATGACCTTCAACTTCATCTGCCTTTGGCACCTATGCAATGTAAAATGTCATCGCAGCTTAGGAGCATTCCAATAATTTCATGAGATCTCTTCTTCTCAAATCAACATTAAAGTGTGACTTTCAATAAACAGTTCAAAACACAAACCATAATTAAAACACCAACTAGATCTTCAAGTAAATAATTTTAATAGACGTAAATACCTTTTTATAATTTCAATAGCCTGCTCATTGACATATCCACCTTCCACAAGCCCTGGAGTGTCTATGATGTTCAATGTGAATCCTGCTCGAGTCCGGGAGCACATTATGGGTCTCAACCCCTCCGACTGCAACAAGCAATGATCAACTAACAACACATCACAAATATACTTTTTTTTGGCCAGAAAATTTAATGCCCATAATTCACTAATCTGGGGTAGAAAACCTGAAAAGCACTGACAGAAGCCACCCTCTCCCCTAAAATGGAGTTGACTGTGGATGACTTCCCGACTCCACCCTTTCCCATCACCAGAATTGTCAATGTGCTCACATTCTAAAGAAAGAAGTATTATACCAAAATTAATTGAAATGGACTCCTAAGTATCCAAACAAAAGAAAATAAAGCAGACCTCTTGCTTCAATTTCCCTAACAATTCATGCAATTTGTTCTGCGTAGCAGCAGGAAACTGCTGGATTCCAGTCCATTCACGAGTCACTTGCGCCGTCATATCGTCTCAGCCTACTCAATGACGACATTGGTAAAAAGGGGTTACGGCTTCGATGAAGAAAAAGACTAAGAGTCAAATAGAAGAAGGAAAACACTAATTCCAGGACATCCACAAAACAGGCCATAGCACTAGCACTAACAACAAACCCTCAAGAAATTGGAAGTAATTACAAACAATCAGATATTTGGGGATGAAATTGCCTGTAGAAGAGAAGAGAGGAAGGTAAGGGCTTACCACTGGAGATCAGGTACCAACCGACCCGAAACCCCGAAGCAGGGGAGGGGACGGGGAGGCGATCCGAAGCGGAGGTGATTTCTTTCGCTCTGGGTTTGGGCGGAAAGCAAGAAGGCCGAGATAAGGTGACGTGCGAGAGAAGGACAAAAGAGTGCGGCCGCTCTTGGTGTGAAGGCGTCGCGACGCAGCTCGATGCTCGCTTGCATCACCGAGTTGGTTCCCATTCGAACGCCCTAACAGCCCAAATCCAGCCCAATACTTCGTGCCTCGTTCCGGAAACTTCTATTAGCCTCGAAGGATAGAATAATATTCTTTACCGAGTAAATTATAAATTGTATTATATGTAAATCCTGATGATCTCCTAATGCAATTTTTTTTATTTTCAAACAGTTCCTTGTTTTCCATTCCAACATATGTAACAAACAAGCTTCACCTTTCCATTCCATCATTTGTCTGTGGTACCTAAGGCACTATTCTAGTGTGGAGGAATGATGAATACTTTATGACCCTCTAAAGCCGTTATAATTACTTAAAAGTAGTATGTGATAGAGACAGGATTGGTTGCATTAAGTATTGAAGGTTCATTACGTGATAAAATTACTTACTATGTGTTTATGATTTAATCTGTATTTTGAGTGACGTAGGATATTTTGATTAGGATAAGATAATTAAAGTAGAAAAATCATGTTGTGCCGGAGGAACATGTCAGAAGAATAGACATTAGGCCGGTGGATTGGTCGACGTATCGACAGAAGGCTTCGGGCCATGGATTCAGGCATCAGACCAAGAAGAGCGGGTATTGCGCCAAGGATATCGAAGTTGCGGAGTCAACTGGCCGATTGGGCAATAGTCCGCAAGAAAGGACAATGCATCGAAAAATCAGACGAAGCGTCGAGGGACCAATGACATACCGGACAACTTGATTAATTGCTTAGGAGTAATTGTCTAGATCGAACTTGTGTTTTACATATGTAGGATTAACTACGATAGCTTGAAGACATAAAGCAAGTCTATCGGAGTCAAGTTCGATGGGTGTTCGAGAGTCTGAAGATTCGTCGGAGATGTTGCCGGAACCAACCAAGAAGAAATCGGGGATTTGTCAGAGTCTTCGGAAGTCCGCCGAAGAGATCATCAGAGGTTCGCGGAGATCACTGAAAAGGCTCGGCTACTCACTGAACTCGCCACAAGATCAAGAGCCTGATAGGCGCCCGCCGGAAGAAATCCGAGGGTGTATCGGAAGTCCGCCGGAAGATTGCCAGAAAGCTCACCGGAAGGAGACTCGACGTTTACCGGTTGAAAACTTACTTAGGACTATATCCTGGTTAGGGGCCAACTGGGCCCAATATTACCTAATTTGGGCCAAATTTGAAGCCTATCTAGTGACCCATAGGGTCGGGCGGTGGAACCGCCGGACCGAGCGGTGGCACCGCCCAGAACCTGAGGATTGGGTGGTGGTACCGTCGGGCTGGGCGGTGGCACCGCCCAGGATCCGAGAGGTCTAGCGGTGGCACCGTCGGACTGGGCGGTGGCACCGTCGGACTGGGCGGTGGCACCGCCAGTACACTGTCTATTAGAAACTAACAGGCGGTGGCACCGCCAGCATCGGGAACTCAAGAGAATTCAAAATTTGGAGCCCAAATTTAAATCCTCTTATGGTCTATAAATACCCCTCAATTCTCAACAGAGAATACAACCTTTAAGAAGTTAGAGATTAAGATAAAGCCTTAGTAAAGTCTTTAGCAAGTCTTGTTTTCATATTGGTGTGTTCCTTGAATGTGTGAGTGTTTACCTTTCTTAAACCATTATTACTATAGCAGCAAGCTTTCGGTTTTTATCTTCTCACTTTATTCGAGCTACTTTCACCAAGTCATTCATTGTCGAATCGAAATCTCTACGTATTTATAAAATCGTTTTCAAACTTACGAGTTTTAATCCGCTGCACTAATTCACACCCCCCCCTCTTAGTGCCGCTCCAATCCTAACAATTTGTATTAGAGCCACGATTTTCTACTTTGGTTTAACACCCAAATAGAAATGATTCTTTATGGCTTTCAAGAGGGTCACTCTCTCATTCGTCCTTCCTTTTTCAATGGGATGGACTACACTTATTGGAAAACTCGAATGAGAGTTTTCTTACTTTCATTGAATCTCGAGCTTTGGAATATTGTCAAAAATGGATTTCAAAAATCTTCTCTTCCAATGAGTGAATGCGATGAATTGGAGAAGAAAGTTTCTTCTTTAAACGCAAAGGCTATGAATACCTTATATTGTGCACTTAACAAAAATGAATTTAATCGCGTTTCGATTTGTGATTCGGCTTTTGATATTTGGAGAACTCTTAAGGTCACTCATGAAGGCACTAGCCGAGTGAAAGAGTCCAAAATTAACATTCTTGTGCACTCTTACGAACTTTTCCGAATAGTGAGTCCATCGAAGACATGTACACCCATTTCACGGATGTCATCAATGGACTCAAAACTCTTAGTAAAAGTTTTTCTAACTTTGAACTAGTAACTAAAATCTTAAGATCCCTTCCAAAAAGTTGGGATCCAAAAGTTACGATCATTCAAGAGGCCAAGGACCTTAAGACATTTCCTCTCGAAGAACTAATTGGGTCTTTAATGACTTATGAAATGAATAATATGACAAAAAGAGAACTCGAGAACAACCTTCCAAAGGACATGAAGGATTTGGGACATAGAACACATGAAGACCACTCGAGCATAAGCTCAAGTGATGGTGAACTTAAACTACAAATGAAACAAAAATTAAAAAGCAAAAAGAACGGAACTACTTGCTTTGAACACAAGAAGAAGAACACAAATTGGGATGAATCGAGCTCCTCCGAAGATGAGGAGAAAATCTAGAAAGGCGAGGTGGCAAACTACGCCTTAACCGCTTTCAACGAAGAGGTAATCGAAATCCCCCTAATTTATTTTGAAATTACATAATACTTTAATGAGTTATTTTTAATTTAGTTTAGGATTAATTTTCTTAAAAATTATATGTTTAATAATTTAATATTTAAAAATAAAAATATAATAAAATTTTAAATATAAATATTATGTATGTGTTTGAGAAGTAAGAATGTGTATTTTGATGATTTACGATTTTAATTGAAACCATGCTTGATGTCTTAATGAAAATATTGAGAAGTTTAATATCATGCTTAATAATGATGCATGGCTTTTGAATAGAAGACTTGATGATCTTTTTTTTGAACTTTGTCTTTGGTTGTCAAACATGATGTATGGTTTTGACTTAAGAACAAAATTTGAGAATGCTAATATAAAGTCAATCACATAAATTAAAACTAAAGAAGTTTTAGTATATGTAAGAATCATTCAAAATTATGTTCAATGAAACCAATACAAAATGATGGAATGAAAATATTGAAATTTTGATACTATGATTTGATGATTTTATGCATGAGATTGTAAAGTTATACATAATAATTTTTGTGGTTTATTGATATTGATGGTTTTTATGATAAAATTCATTTTTCGATCCTAAATATTGATGCACATATTTATCTAGCATAAATGAAATAAATGACATGAATTTAAATAACTAGAAAGAGAAAAGCATTGTTCTTGAAAATTATTTTTCTCTATCTTATTGATTTATATGAATCTCTTGAAAATGATTTTGATTTGATGATTTGAATTTGAAATGAGTTATATCAAAATCATGAAATTGATTTGACAAATTGAATGAGTTGAAAATGAATGATTATTTTTCTCTTCAATATAACTTGTAAAATTTTTTTATAAATTATCATCTTGATTTCTCGATACATGAAATTTTTCCATGAATCAAAATTCTTTCATGATGTGATTCTTCTTGGTATTCACTAAAAATGATTATTCAAATTAACCTATGTTACTCGACATCTTGCTAATTTATGACTTGAATTTTATTATGTAAAATTTCTTGCATTCATGAAATGTATATTTCATCACCAAAATTCTCTTGATATTTTGAATAATATATGAAATACAAATGAGAAGTTAATGATCATGCATGATAGGATGTAATGAACTTTGACATTTAGATACCATCATTTGAAAAGCTATGATTATGTTGCCAAAATGACGTATCATGAATGCTTGAATATCATATATAATATGCTCATAATGATGATTGAGTTATTTGTATCGAAAAATGAAAGATATAGTTTTGAAATTGTGCATGTTCGAATTTGAAAATATGATAATGCATAATGATTAAATTGTGTAATGAAAATATTAAACATTTTGAAACCATGTTTTAGTATCATGCATAATGATCATGCTTAATAAATTTTGAAATTATGCATGATGAATCTTGCGATTTACGGATTATTGATTTTTACCATAATGAAAGTGTCTTATTGATCTTTGTTATAATAAATCTTACACTTTCGGTTTTAAACATGATACATGTTTTTATTTGGCATAAATGAAACAAAATCATATGTTTTGAAACAACCAAAAAGAGGAAAACATTCTTCTTGAAAAATATTTTGCTCTATCTTATTGATTTTGATGAATCCATTTGTATCATCTTTGTGAATATCTTGGATTTTGATAATGATTTTGATTATTTAAATTTGAATAATTTTTTATCGAAATTATGATATGATCTCTTGAAATTTATAACATGAAATCCTTTATGAATCAAGATTTCTTACTCTTTATTCTCTTACATTTTGAGAAAATTTTCAATATGAATCATAAGACTTCTTATATATAAATTGAAATTTTTTTCTCCTACGTTTTCTTTTGTGATTTACTAAAGAGAATATCTTTTTTTCTTAATTCTTAACTTAAAATTTTATTTGAAAATATCTTATTATTTGATCTCCTAAGATCTCTCTTTGAATATTTAAAGATGAGCATTTTCTAGATGAATCATGATTTTGATGATTGAATATTTGATATGCATGAATTGAGATCTTGCTCTCCTACTATTTTTTCTATTCACCAAAAAGAAGACTAGTTCTAATAAACCATGATATGCTATATGAATTTTATTGCATTCATGAAGTAATGTTTCATCACCAATTTTTGTTTATATTCCTTCATGTGATATATGAATGCATGAAACACTTATGATATGATTTTTTATACAATTCCATGTATTCATGAAATATTTATCTCATCACCCAATTAATTTCTCTTGATACTCCTAATGTGATGAAATGAAATTATGCATGAAATACAAATGGGGAGAAGTTTTGATCATGCATGGTAGGATGCAATTTGATAAATTAATATCATCATGATTTAAAATATTTATGATTTAAAATTATGCATGCAATTACTTTTTATTATGATGATATATGCATATAATGTGCATCATGAATGCTCTAAATGATGAATGCTTTGTATCATGATTAAAATATTGATAAATGCTATGATTTATTACCAAAATGATGTATCATATATGATATACCCATAGTGATTAATTTATTTGTATAATGCATGAAGTAAGGATACAAATGTAAAGTTTTGAAGTTGTGCATATTTTAATTTGAAAATATAATGATGAACAAATAAGATTGATACTTACCTTTATCATGATTTAGAAATTGATGTAAAGGGTCTTTCCTTCTTTTTGACAATGACAAAGGAGGAGATAGCTAGCTTGCACAAGACAAGAGAAGCAAAAATTACAAATGTACATATCGCAAAAAGGAACAAAACTTATTAGTTTGCTCAACTCAAAAGCAAGAAATACTATCTTGTAGTTTCAAGCAAAAGTGTTATCTTGCAAATCTCAAAGAAGCAATATGTGCCGAGTTACATATTTTGAAAAGAGGCAAAATAATTCATCTTGCACATCTTTTTGCTAACTTTTTATGTGTAAAAGTTGATAACTTGCATACTATAAATTTGCATACCAAATGTGCAATCTTACCTATCTCAAGAATCAAAACATGCTAACTTGCACATCTAGCAAACTTGTGTATTTCAAGAAGCAAGGGATGCTTTCTTGAACATCTCAAAACTGCTAGCTTGCATGTTCTAAAAGTGTTGTAAAATTTGCTAGCTTGTATGTTGTAGTAATTGCTATCATACTACCTTGCATATCGATGATAATAGCACAATTGCATGATGATAAAACTAAGAGATTATATTAATTATACAATGTGTTGAACTTGGATATTTCAAAAACTTACAACTTGCACATTGCAATAGGAAGCAATAATCATGAGCTTACACAAGAAAGCTATCTTGCATTTGCTTTTGATTTTTTTTTTTTTGCTAGCTTGCATGTAGCAAAACTTACATATCATAAAAATTGCTAGCTGGTAGTCTAAAGAGAAGTAAACAGTTGCTATCTCAAGAAAAGCAAACATGCTAAACTTGCACATCTTTAATTGCTCGATTGCATGATGATAAAATTTAACACTATATTTTTTCATGCAATGTATTGAACTTTATATCTCAAACACATAGAAAGTGACACTTCTCTTTTTTATTCATGACAAAGGGGGAGAAGTATGATCATGTTATGCATGATGACGTATTGTAAATATTCATGATGAATATTTACAATAACTTGAATTCGGCTTGAATTCAAGATTCTATCAATATGGCATATTGATAGGGGGAGTTTGTTTAAACTTCGGGAATTAAGGTTAACTCCGTCATCAAGTGGTTGTCATCATTAAAAAAGGAGAGATTGTTGAATCTCGTATTTTGATGATGAAACCACTTGCTATGTGTTTATGATTTAATCTGCGTTTTGAGTGACGTAGGATGCTTCGATCAGGATGAGACAATTAAAGCAGGAAAATCATGTTGTGCCAGAGGAACATGTCAGAAGATTGGACGTCGGGCCGGTGGATCGGTCGACGTATCGATAGAAGGCTTCGGGCCGTGGATTCGAGCATCAGGCCAAGAAGAGTGGGTATTGTGCCAAGGATATCGGAGTTGCAGAGTCAACTAGCCAATTGGGCAATAGGCCGCAAGAGAGGATGATGCGCCGAATAATCGGACAAAGCGTCGAGGGACCAATGACATGCCGGACAACTTAATTAATTGCTTAGGAGTAATTATCTAGATCGAACTTTTATTTTACATGTGCAGGATTAACTACGATAGCTTGAAGACATAAAGCAAGTCTACTGGAGTCAAGTTCGATGGGTGTTCGAGAGTCCGAAGATTCGTCAGAGATGCTGCCGAAACCAACCGAGAAGAAATCGGGGACTTATTGGAGTTTTCGGAAGTCCGCCGAAGAGATCGTTGGAGGTTCGCAGAGATCACCGAGAAGGCTTGGCTACTCGCTGAACTCGCCACAAGATCGGGAGCCCGTTGGGAGTCCACCGGAAGAAATCTAAGGGTGTATCGGAAGTCCGTCGGAAGATCGCCGAAAGGAGACTCGACGTTTGCCGGTTAAAAACTTGCTTAGGATTATATTTTCAGTCACGTAGTTTGCATATAATTATGGTTAGGATTAAGGGATAATCCTATATCCTGGTTAGGGGCCAACTGAGCCCGATATTACCTAGTTTGGGCCAGATTTGAAGCCCATCTAGTGACCCATAGGGTCGGGCGGTGGTACCGTTAGGCTGGCCGATGGCACCGCCCAGGATCCAAGAGGTCCAGCGGTGGCACCGCTAGACTAGGCGGTGGCACCACCAATACACTATCTGTCAGAAACTAACAGGCGGTGGCACCGCCACTAACAAGCAGTGGCACCGCCAGCATCGGGAACCCAAGAGAATTCAAAATTTGGAACCCAAATTTGAATCCTCTTAGGGTTTATAAATACCCCTCAATTCTCAGCAGAGAATACAACCTTTGAGAAGTTAGAGATTGAGATAAAGCCTTAGCAAAGTCTTTAGCAAGTCTTGTTGTCAATAGCTTAAGTGTTCACCTCCCTCTTTCTCTTTGAAAATCTGTAAGAGTGTGAACCACTTGTAAAAGATTGTAAGAGAAGTATTTGTCCTTCCCCTTCAAAGTGATTTGCTAGTGAAAGTTGGGAGCCTCATCAAAGAAGGCTTCGTAAGTGGATGTAGGTTATTTTGGCCGAACCACTTTAAATTGGTGTGTTCCTTGAATGTGTGAGTGTTTACCTTCCTTAAACCGTTATTTATATAACAGCAAGCTTTCGGTTTTTATCTTCTCACTTTACTCGAGCTACTTTCACCGAGTCATTCATTGTCGAATCAAAATCTCTACGCATTTACGAAATCGTTTTCAAACTTACGAGTTTTAATCCACTGCACTAATTCATCCCCTCTCTCTTAGTGCCGCTCCGATCGTAACACATTATAGGAAGTCACTGATGAAGACCCTCTCTCTCTTAGTGCCGCTCCGATCGTAACACATTATAGGAAGTCACTGATGGAGATAGGATTCGGCTTGCATGTTTGGATTACTGATCCATCTGGTTGATTGGTACCAAATACAACTGCAAGCAAATCTATCTTTGGCATTACAAACTTAGCTAGTCTTTTCAATTGAGACGAATACAAGTATCATCTCAGGGCATTTTCTTTCACAATTTCATCAGCCTACATCGGCTGTCATATACTTGCATAAGCTTTCTTTCATGTATGTGCCCTTTTATTTGGCTGCTCTGCTTGACTTTAAATCCAATGTGCTATCGACTCATTTTTGTCTTCATCTTCATGGTCTCTTAGATGTGCAAGAGACTGAGAAAAAACCAACCTTACAAGTGAAATCTCTTCTCTTATTGTCCCTATGTAAGACTCACATTGTGCCTCAGAGTCAAGAAGCATAACTAGCATCTTCTGTTCAGGAAAAGGAAAGGAAAGATTGGACACCAAAATTGAAGGCAAATGTAGTGGAAACAGTCACAGAAGATCAATCATAGGCAATATAATTTTCATTATCATGTAACTTTCAGTATAACTGTATGAATGATCCTTGAATTCTCTCTTGTACAGTGCCACAGTATCATCTTAACTAGCAGACGCTTAAGGTACCCAATTCCAAGGGCAGAGGCATCCCAATCCTAACTTCTTCAATGGCAACATATCCACGAGTGACCCACGCAAATCTTGTCATGTCCTACACTGCAGGGTGGAGGTGTTTGCTCGCACTCCATTCATGAAGAACATGGCCAAACACATCGTAGAACACAATGTCAGCAGCTGTCCTTGTTAGCTGCAGCGACATGAAACCTTGACCATCGTAGAAGAATCGAAGCTTGTCGGAGGTTGGAGTGAAGACTCCTCTCCATGCCATCGAACCGCCGCCGCTTGTCAGATACTGGATTTTACTGCCAATGAAGAATTATTTTCAGATTGATGGAATCTCCAAAAACAATCCGTATCGAAAATCCAGCAGATACTTCACCTGTCATTGCTGCTGATGTGCTGCAGGCAATGATCATGTCCATTGATGTATAGATCAACACCATTTGCCTGTGGCTTTATCAGGATCAAGATCTGGATAACCAAGAAGTTGTCCTTTGCACAAGGTCTAGGAATTGGATTACCTTAAGAATCGGCAGAAGCAAACTGAGAAGCTCAGCTGTGTCTCCATGATGACTGGCACTTCTCATCGTATGGTGTCCAACAACAATCTTCCATGGTGCCGTAGATGCTTCCAGTGCAGCATCCAAATCCTAATGACAATAAGATTGTTTAGTCTTGTGTTCTTCGCCATTAAACTTCCTCATATATTTGACTAAATAGGATGCTTGAAGATGCATGCAAATACACCTTTAAGAGATCTGAGATGTATGTTTCACGAGGTGCCACATCTCTCCAGTCATAGTGATCATTCTCTGGGTTGGTCCAATAAGATTCCACAAAGGGAGTGGTGTCCACAAAGAAGAAGTCCACAATTTCTGGCCACACAGAAACAACCATGAGAAAGATACTAGGATCAAATAGTCGTGAGGCCGAACAAATTTCACCTGCATTAAGGATGAAGGATCTCAAGCAAAGCCATCGGCTATCGATCTTTTGGAGAAGAGGGCTCAACTCTGCTAACACATCACCACTGTAGTCATGATTGCCCAAAACTAGAAACACACACCAGAAAAGATTGATCAAATAGGTAAAGCAGAATGAACACATTGTTATCCATCTGATTGGCTTACCGCTGTACCATTGCTTTTGCAGGCTCTTTGCAGTGTATACGTTGGTGAATGACTCCTCAAATGCCTTATCTCGGACATCTTTGAGGCCATTATCATAGAAATTATCTCCGGTGGATATGACCAAATCTATATCCATCTCCTCTCCGATCTTTCCCATCTACGTACATATACATACACATAAAATGGCCTTGTAAACAAATGAATTATAACCTGCAACATCTTTTACCATGCGAACAAGTTAAGCTTGAAATGATCCATTACTGAACTAGAAGGGCACATTCCATGAACAATCAACAAAATGGACTTCCACCAGCTAAAATTTCGATCCTCCCCAATTGCCATTACCTTGTTCGACATAATGAGACCTTTCCATCTCATCTTTCTTCACTTGGAAGGCAAAATAGAAATAAACTACTCTGAAAAGTAGATTCTTTGAGGGAAGGTAGGGGGCGAAAAGGGATCTTTTGGTTTGTTTTGTGAAAGGGGCGATCGAACTATGAAGAGAATGGCATTTTTTAAGATATTGGAGACGAACAAAAAAAAAAGCTGAGAAGACGAGGTTTGCCTGAGCCGCGACTTGCGATTGATTGAATTGCCCTTTCCTTCCCCAGTCTCCGACAACCAAGAGGCTGAGGGACCCGTCGGCCTTGGCCGGGCGCTCAAACCGCGGCAGCTCCGCGGAGCAAGGGAGGAGGGCTGGCATCACCGTCGCTACGGCAAGGAGGACGAGGGACAGAGCCGTGGTCTCGAGCGCGACGCCGGCCATGGCTCTGACAAATCGAGAGAAGAGAGACAAGGGCAATGGAAGGAAGTACTGATTCGGTGGAGAATGTGGGGCTGGTCGACGGGGTCGGCCAGGTTTTATAGGAGGTGGAAGTGGCGTGCAGGCGGGAGACACGAGAGCGGTGGACGAAGGCAGGGGGGAAGGACCGACCCGTACCCGTAGTAGGCAACGAGAATGTTATCCAATCATAAAGGTTACCGGTCGACCCGTAGAGTTATCATGCGATGGTGGAGGGATGGGGGTTTACCAACCCAAGGACGGTACCAAACCACGGGCTGGGAAAGTCGTGTGGAGGGGAGCCGCGAAGGGTAAGAAAAGCATATTTGGCGATGAAAACGCCGGGTGATCGCGAGACGTGGAGCTGGTACAAGTGGGTCCCGCGTGGAGCACGAATCACAGACAAGGTAAAACGGGGGTGGCGCACTTCGGTTTTCGGACTCCTCGATGATATAATGGGTCCCACAGAAAACGACAAATCCCGTTTAGGTAACTCACGAAGGGTAAGAGAAGGATACGTTGTTGCCAGAAGCAGGTGCTCTACTGGGTCCCACACAACACATCAGCCGACCAAGCCGCGGAAGTTGGTTCGCGTAACTCCCGAAGGGTAAGAATAGGATACTTGGCGGCCACCAGCAGATAATCCCGTGACGTGGAACTGTTACGTGGGGGACCCACAGAAACGACACACCAGAAGTAAGGTAAGAACGCCGTGTGAATGACGGGGTAGGTAGCTGTTTAACGTGCCTGGTCAGCTGCCTCGTCGACGTGGTGTTCCTTAAACTATTCAGCAAGGAGGCCGAACGCGCGGGCGGTGCGTGTTTGTCATTTAGAATGGGAGCAGGTTAGAGAAGAGGCGACGGAGATCACTTTTTAATGAAATAAGAAACGATGATAAGCATATTTAACATCACATTATAAAACCTAGTCATTTCTAATATGAAAAATGTCATTTTGATCCACCAAAAGACTAAATTTGTATGGTACTTACCAAAGTGAATCATTCTTAATGAATCCTCCTGCTCGAATCTTTATGTTTTTATATTTGTAATTTATAGAGACTACAAATATTACATTAGTTATATGTTTGTATGCTTTCTTTCTTCCCTTTGTTTTTTTTTTTTCTTTCTTTTTTTCTAGTCAAGGCACTTTTGTATTATATTTATTATGTCTTGTGCCAAGACTTTATGGGCCTCTCATCATTAGTAACAAGAGAGAGAGAGAGAGAGAGAGAGAGAGTAAAAAACAATTCTTTCGATATCATTTGACAATGAATATTAACAAATCTTAATATCCCAATTCTTCATGGTACTCCCTGAATATTATTATGTCAATTAACTTTTTATATAATATTCTTAGTTGAATACAAAAGGTTATATAATTTACTAGTGATAATTACTTTTCAAATTTTTTTATTTGTTTTTTATTTAAATTTATCCAAAGTGATTTTTTAGGAGATCTAACATTCTAGGAGGGTAATCTAACAAAAGCTTTAAAAAAAAAAAAAAAAAAGTGGTGAAATATCTTCTATTTCTCGCACTATTAGTGTTAAAAAATTCATTTAATTTTTTTTCTTGAACTCCACCACATAGTATCAAATACTGTGCTGTTGATTAATCAACTTATATAGGGGACGTGGTTAACAAAGAAGCCCCAAAAGTGTTTAGGATACACATACAATTGAGTTCTACATTTTGCTACACTTAAATGAGCTATCCAATAGTTTCATCTCTTATCTACGTCGTTTCCTGAAACCTACGAATAAAAATATCACAACAAAAGGAAAATATTATAAAGAGGAAGTACTGAAATATTGTAGGGGGAAAAACTATGAAATCGAAAAGAAAAATGTAAGAAAATAAGAGACATGGACCATAGCCATTCTCCATAATGTTCACACTTTATTTAATTTCTTACATCACATCTAATTCCATCTTGGTTGCATAATCCATCTATAGGTACAGGAAGAAGAATAATAATATACCTACACGAATTAACAAAATATTACAACGTGTACAAACAAGGTAGAAAAGAAAGAACCAAAACAAATGCTCAATATATAAGCAAGTAGCTCGATCAGCTTCTCATTGTTCATATGCACCTCTTTTGTCTCATCCCTGTTGAATCAGATGTCTCAAAGAATTTAAACAGCTGTTGCAGGGGCTTTAAGCATGCAACTCATGCATGCTACTTTGAATGCCAATCTGATCTCCCCAAGGTGAACTCCAAGCTAGGGATTTGGTGTTCTTGACAAGAATCATCTGTGCTACTTGATCTACAATAACCATCCTGTTCAAGGTAAGAATACGACAATGTCATCCCCACATCTTCTAAATTTGATGTACATGAATCGGATACAAATTTTAATGAGAAGTACAATATATATAGAGTTAGAGACATGCATTTGAATGGAATCGATTAAGAATGAAATGTTACAAGTACCTCAATTTGTGATGAGAGAGAAGTCGATCGAAGCACAGCAGAGTTGATGCCATTTGAGTTGATTTGCATCCATTCTTGTCTGCTGAAATTTAATAGAAGTCGGTCGAATGAGTTTCATTGAATGAGATTTTAGGATTTTTAAGATGAATATCAAGGAAAATGATACAATATTGTTACATGAAGTTGCAAGGCATGTTATGCAACTACGTATGAAGAAGAATGCCAGCAAATCTACCACATATCGGAAGCACACGCGGAACAACAAAACGTACATGTGCCTTTACGAGTCAATGCGAAGTAAGCAATAATCTTTCACAATTGTATTCAGATTTAAAAGGAAATGAAAGCAAGAGCATTCAAGGATTCCAAGCAATCACATATAACTCAATTCAAATAAGAAGGTTAGATGAATTCAATGTTCAAAGGAATGAAACTGGAATAGGCATATATCGAAAGCAAATGCGGAACAATGAGATATACATGTGCCTATATGAGTCAATACGATATAGCATAAACATTACACAATAGTTTTCAAGAATGCAAATAATTTTAAGGACGAGAGCATACAAGAATTCAAAGCAGTAATATAAAGCTCAATTGAATAAGATAGCTAAAGGATATCAATTTCCAAAGGTACGAAACCAGAATATGCGAAATCGACCAAAGCTCGATATCTGGTAGAATTCAAGAGGCACATTGAATAAATGATTCAAACTATCAATCGTGCTCCAATTTACTCAGAAATGTATCATTGGAAAGATATTTCAACTTACTTTCAGATAGAATAAGTCTCATATGAATCGAAGTTTCCAACAAAGAGTTACAATAGATTTAGTAACCCAAGATCAAAGAACAAATCTCAATTTTACAGAATTCACAAGGTCGGTTTCAACAGAAAACTGGCCATGCATTTGGACTCTAAATCTTTCAATCCAGGTATCAAAGAAAGATCTACGAGTCTTTCTTTTCTAGTGCAAGTGTTTCTTTTCTATTAGATAGTTCTAAAAATATGTAAAAGGTTGCTATCGTGAGGAGAGAAGTTTGTTGTAGTTGCCTTTTAGGTTGTAGTAGTCTTATTCCAATATAGCGAAACCCTAGAACTGTTGTATCTTATTTGCTGTGTTTCTTTCTCTCTTTCTTCTTTAGCCAGTCTTAATGAGGGGTATAGAAGGCACCAGATGAAGTATGATAAGTAGTGTAAAGAGTTAAGAGCAAGGATTTTGAGCATTAATGTAATCGAGATACAACCTATGTTAGGTATCCATGATGATGAATAATGGAACAGGAGTTGGCTCTAACATGCAGTGTGTTGAAGCTTATGTGACCTTGTGTCAGCGTCAGTCCCATGATATGGTCAGGAGGAACAAGGTACTTTCTAACCCAATATTGTTAAACCACTAATCAACAAATTAATCCATCCGTAACCCAAATCAAATGCTGCATAAGAAGCAAATGAATGAAGCCAAAAAAACATGACATGCTTTAACAACTTAGTAGCGCTTAGTGAGAGGATGTCAGCTTTTTTATTCTTCTTTTTATCATAAACATCACTGTAAAAAGAACATGATATCCTAATTCACAAAGTATGGGCTCTGATCGACTTTTCGACTAGCTAGCGGATTCGGTGTTTTTCATGAGTCTTTTGCTTTAAATCTGCCTGCAAGATATCACAGAGCATAAAAGGAGACATAAAAGTAAAAGCTGCCATGATAGAATTTGAATGGAGGTGGAGCCGATGTTTCTAACCTAATTAAGCTTAAAAGCATCAGTGAAACAAAGAAATCTGTTCTGCTGATGAAGAAAAAACCTGTACGCACTGAGAGAAGGATTGTCTGTGTACGTCTTTACCTGGATGAGTTGATCCATCCGATGTCAGAGTCCAAAGGATGGACTTGCTTTGGTGCATCGGAGACCTTGTGATCCATTATCGGTAGATGACCGTCACCAGGTACCAAATCTTCTTCACCAGAGCCATCAGATTGGCCTTGAGAAAAGATGGAACAGATTACTTGTAGCCATCAGATCAGTACAGAGATGTAGTGAACAACATAGTTTACCTGAGGAAGCTGCAGGCTTGTCAGTCGACTTAATAGTTCTGTACATCTGCAAGGACAAAAAGAAAGAAGAGGAAAGGTTCACCAAGGCCATTAAAGAGAGACCGAGAGCGCGAGGAAAATTAGTGGAAGATGGCAGTGAAGTGATGCTACTACAGTAGAGAGAGAGAGAGAGAGAGAGAGAGAGAGAATGGAAATGATCCAGGTGAACTCAGCTAAAATCCATATACGCATGAAACAATTAGAGCTTCTCGTCCTTTGTTTTCCTTTGTTTATTAGATTACCAACGAGGTTGATGCTTCCGTTGAGAATTGTTTATATCTTCTTCTTATTATTGTGGAATGATAGCTTATTTTTGTCTCAGTCTTCCTGTCTGTGGAGAAACCAACTCACGACGCGTTCACCCATTCATTTACTCGTTCACTGCATCAATTGGCTACTCTGCACAACGAGAGAGAGAGAGAGAGAGAGAGAGAGAGAGAGAGAGAGATAGTAAGGTA